CCTGTGTAATTACCATACATGAATCAAGAGAGATCAAATTCCTGTTTTATCTTTTATAGCACTGATATTTGCAAAGATCTTTTTATTAAATTTGTAATAAAATGGAACATCATAAAGAGTGGATTGGCAGATCATTGCCAACCAACCAGAACCGCCTTAGATTACTTTTTCCTAATGGTGTCACCTGTGGGCCATGTTACAAATCTCTGATGATTTAATGTAGCTTTTCAGCTGATATGGAAGAGTAGAAAGAAAACCGATATTACTTTACCTGTAATGTAAATGGAATAAGAAAAATAATACCCTCATGCATACCGTAACCAATATTGAAATAGTGGGTAATACACACAGGGTAATATTTGAATACCCTGAGGAGAGAGGCTGGCTTTGATTCTATCTATAAAATTTCTGAGTTGGGAAACAATCCTGTTCTGAAGAGGCATATGGATGTTCAAAATGAGACTTATTTAAGATACCAACAAAATAGAGATTGGCTGACCTACTTGTTTAGTCTTAATGCACTGAACGTCAATAGAAACCCAATGTTTCAATTTGAAAACAGCATGAATGTAATGGTCTTTTATGAAGGTATTTAGTAATTTCTCCAGCTACAAAAATACGTTGTTTTACATGCTCACTCTTACAACTGAAATCATCAGCTCTAGCTTTGTTACAGCCCCAAAAGCACGTTTCACTCCTGTTACTCTTGCATGTTAGTAAAAAAGGACAAAATTTACCAGGAAGACTTACTTTTCTTTTCTTTTTTCCTGTCGAAATTCTTCTAGTACCTCAATTTTACTATTTACTCTTTGCTGCTGGGTGGTCAAAGCTAAAGTCAGAGGTTTCTTTTCAACTCTGCCTCTCTTAAAAGCTTTCCTAAGATATGGTCCAGAGAAACATCTTAATGAAGGATTCATTTTATCCACATTAATGTTCCCATTGATACCTGTTTCAGTAAACTGATATTTTTTGCTTTAGTGTCTGGACAAAATTGGCAATGTAAGAGTTAATTATCCTCTGTCTTTCTAAAATATGTGTGTATAAGTATCATACAGCGCTAGCATGTTTATAGGGTAAAACAACATTTAAAGTCTTAATCTTTTGACATAGAATAAGCTTTAAAAGTGCAACACAATGTCATGCAACAGTTTATTTGGAGAAATATTGTTACTATTGACTCACTTTCTGGAATGATTTTTTTTTTTTTTTTATGTTAGAAATTGTAAGCAGGTTTTCTCCAAGCTTATATAGCTGAAGTTTTCCCATGAGAAGTTCAGAATCTTCATTCCATACTGTATTTTATGTTAGAAATCCACTACCTATATTAATCTTAAATTGCTCACGAGTGGATACAAGAACTCCTCAGAAAGAGTGGGGAAGGTGGTGATTTTGGGTGTTGCTTTTGTTTTTTTAGTTAGCACATTTTTTTATTTATTTTACTTATTAATGAGTTATGTGTATTGTTTGGCAATATAAATAAGACATGTCAAGAAATTAATGTTTTGAGTAATTAGAAAATACATGTGTTACGAATTAGACTGTCTGCTTTTGATAAAGGCAGAACATGAAAATCCTTTGATTTTAGAAGTGTAGAGCTTTACATGTTAAATTTCCTGGCTTGTATTGTAACACTGCAGGATCTGCCTATGCTCAGCCCTTGTCTGTGAGGGATGGAGCTTTTCTCTCATGCCACAAATTGCTGGCAGCCACCCTCTCGCTCCTTGGATGCAAGGCAACACAGTGTGCTGGAGAGAAGCATCCTCCCCAGCACCAGTTGAATCATATTAATACAGCAACTAGTATTCCAAAATTGTTGGCAAGTGTTCTCATTGGTTCTCTGTCATGCGTGCCAAACCAGGCACCCAAGTGTTGCAGACTCATTTTTAATTTAGCTCGTTGCCGTCTTCAATCCTGTGGAACATAATAATTTTGAGTACTGCTTTGGTGGTGAAAAAGCAAAACTCAAACTAAACTATCTCCATCTCTGGAGGTTTCCCGTGGCCTCCAACTTGGTTCTTAGATTTCTCATTTAAAGGGAGCACCTTGGATAATGAGCTGGCTTCTGAGCAAAGTGATACAGGCTTCCAGGGCTAATGGGCAGATGTGCATAGCCTGGCTTCTCTGGTCACACTGCCCCCTCTTTGAATATACTAGAATATCTCTTCAATGACACACACACACTTTTGTTTTAGGCTTTTCAAGGCAGCAGAAGATAGCAAAAGCCTAATTTGGATTATTTTTTCAAAGTGGTATTCTTACATAAAGTTAATTATTCTCAGTTCTACAACTCCTAGTCCATTCCAGGGTTGTGTTTTCTTTGTTTGGTTTCTATTTGTTTGTTTTTAATCTTTGTCACCATGAATTGTTGTCTTGTTCTGCAGAAATGGTACATTTTGCCAATTTTGAAACTATGCCCTTGTATGCTTATTCGCAGGTCATGCACGTTAGAAAAAAGTGCAGCTGCAATGCAATGCTACAACCATTTAATTTGTTCTACTTGGAGCACATCTACTGCTCTGCTAGAACAATCTGCTTCTCTCTCCTGCGATGTTTTTAATCCATCCTTTTGCACATTACACTTCCTGTAGCTTCTTATGAGATTTCTGTATTCTTTTTCACCTAGGGACATTTTACTTATGTTTTCTTGTTTAACTGTAAGCAGCCTTATTAGTTATTAATTATTTTTAGATTTCCTCTGAGTCCCATCGATTCCTTAACAAGTAGTGACAATACATAAGTATTGATTCATAATAGCTTGGTTTTAAGTTGAGCAGAAGGGAGTGTAAAGATTTAATGAAGAACCTTACAAATGAGGACCTTGCTTGAAGATGAAGCAGGAGGGTGCTGGCATTGCCACATGTAACTTGAACGACTGCAACAAAATGAGCCAGTCCAGTTTGTGCAAGATGAGAACTATGTATAATAGAGCCTTGGGAAAGGAGAACCTGTTAGGGTTTTAGCAGGGAGTATTGTCAACATGTGTTAAGAGCCTGTGGGGAGAAAAGGAAAGGACAGCTTGGATTAAAGGGGTTGTGTCAGTGCCTCGGTGACCTTGGGTACAGTGACCATGGTTTCTGCATCTGATGTGTGGTTCCAGGACCTGAAAAGCCTCAAAATAAACCTGCGTGAGCATGCCACACCCACCAAAGACTACCCCTATCTGCAGCTGTGTTTTATGAAAGCTGGAGTTTATTTAATGACAGAAAACTCAAGATGAAGTTGAATCAGATTAAATGGAAAAAACATTTATTCCTTTTTCTAATCCAGCAATTTCAGGGCTGAACCAAGCGCAGAAATAAAAATCCCTGTGAGAACTGTAAAGCAAAATTGAAACAAGGTGTTTGGTTGATCCACAGGGTATTTTTATTGAGAGACAGTGGTTTTGATTTTGTTCGTAACTCAAATATCAAACTGCGTGCAGACGGTGGGGGTAGGCCGTGCTGTTTGCCATCTCAGAATATAACTGTGCTAATATCCTTTTTCCTCATGTTCAGCTTCATCAGATCCCCACAGTACAAAGCAGTATGAAACAGATATTGCTTTTCTGCTAGCACTTCCAGTGCCTTCCCATGAGGCAGATTAGCTTAATTATAGATAAGGATTGAGTAGCACAAATAATAGCAGTAGTGCACGTCTTTTTTACCAGAAGAGGCAGTAATTGCAGACCCTTGCCTGTTAAAGCTTACCTGAAAAACATTTTTTTTTAATTTTTTTGTTTTTATAAAGAGTCTCTTTTCTGATAGCAGAAATGTTTTCACACAGATTAAACAGATAGCTTTGAAGTCAGGCAGGTGTTCATGGTCTTCCACCACTGGTACATAGAATCACAGAATCAACTAGGTTGGAAAAGACCCGTAAGATCATTAAGTCCAACCATTACTCCAGGACTGCCAAGACCACCATTAAACCATATCACTGAGAGCCTCATCTATAGAAGTGGGGGATTTCTAACTGATTTCTCCTCTTATTGCTGATAATTCTGTTGGTTTTTTTCTCATCATGACCTGTACTTCTGATTTGTGGCCCATGCACCACTCCTGATGGGCAGCAGGATGCTGCTGGCTCAGGTCTCATATATAGGCTTGCAGTAGGAATGGCCCCACCAGACAAGGCAACAATTTAACTGTGACATCTCTCTTGAGGAGAACCATGCCACCAGTGCCCTGCCTGTGATAGGGGCTCTGGGTGCAGCTATTCTAAATGTATACTTTCACCATTAAAAATTTATCTTTTAAATCGAGTAGTATATTGGAAAAGAGAGGTTTGCAACTAATATTTTGAAATAAATAAGCAGCACTGGCTGCTCTCTGCAGAAACCTGCCACTTTGTTCCCCCTTCCCTGCCTTATTACAGGAGACATTTAATTTTATAATACTGTTGATGATAGCTATGCTGTGAGTTGTACTGTGGGCTGAGCCGGAGGCCTGTGGGACCTTGTAGGGCATAGGAGGGAAGGAGCAGCAGGGTTCCTCAAATAGAGATTGTATCCTTGCAGCTGAAATCACCCAAGGGCTGATCTAGATTACACAGTAAAATAGCCATGCCTCACACAAGTTCTTTCTCTCAGCAGAGTGCTGGAAAACACCAGCAAGATGCGTTGGAAAAAATGGTTTGTAAAAATATAAATGGATTTCTTTATTTTAGAATATGAAGAAATCAAGGAGTTCAGGGGTCCTGCCTTTCCAGATTGATAAAATAATCTGGAAAGAAAAAAAAAATAATATTCTGGGGTTGGAACTAGGTGATCTTTAAGATCACTTCCAACCCAAACATTCTATGATTCAATTTGCAAAATTGAAATTGCAAAAATTAATCATTTAATGCTTGTAAAGATCTATGGTGTGGCAACTGCATATGCATTCACTTACTGCTGCACAATAATTCCAGCAAGTGGGTATTGATAAAAAGGAAGTCATGACAATGGGAGAAGAATCTGCGATGCATGCTCTGCATCTTTACAAAACCTGTGCTTTGATCATCTATTCTCTTAACAATTCCAGGTGTTGTTAAGGTGGATTATGGTGATGTATCCATCAGGAAAGCACTGAGAGAAAATCTGAAGTGTAAACCCTTCTCGTGGTACTTGGAAAACATTTATCCTGATTCCCAGATTCCACGGCGCTATTACTCGCTTGGTGAGGTATGAACCATTTTCTTTGGTTACACTAAAACAGTAAGTACCCAACACAAGGGGGGAACTGCTGAGAGATGAGTTGGTTTGGAGGAAAGGAGTGAAGTGCTTGTGTGCAGTCCCTGCATCTAACTTATCTTTACCTCTGAGAAGGTTGCATCTCCTCTAAATCTTTCGTAGGAGGGCATTGCTATTCTGAATGTATACTTTCACCATTAAAAATTTATCTTTTAAATTGAGTAGTATATTGGAAAAGAGAGATTTGCAACTAATATTTTGAAATAAATAAGTAGTATGCAGTAGTCGAAGGAAACTTTCCATCATTACTGATCACTTACACGTACAGTAGAAAAAGCTTTGGGTTTTTTTGCTTTTTTTCTTCTAAAAGAAATGTGTTTGCTAATTGACACTGAGTTTTCCAGCAGGGCTGCCTGGAGCTGGGTATCACAGGCATTCTGAATAATCTGCCAGTTCTAGTACCACCCAAAGCTAGAATCTTTTTCAGATTCAGGTAGTTCACTGTTAAAAATATTCTATGGAGTTGTAACTACGCTGACTTTTAAAAGCTCTTGAATGGCTTGATTTAAAGATCGCCACGGATGAAAAAGCAGTCAAATGATCAAATTTTACTTTTTTACATCCAGGAAAGTAGCTTATTACTTAAACTTGCAGTTGTAGTGCCGAATAAAAGCCACAGTAGGGTTTCCAGTTTAACTATGACAAGAAAAAGTGAAACATAGTGTTTACAGCAAGGAAGGTGCTCATCTAACAAGTGTCAAATAATAAGGTTTTGTATGATATTGTCAGACTGCAAAATGAAAGTATGAGAAAGTAATAAAATAGTTATTAAAACACCTTATTTTTACCAACAAGGCCTCAGTTTCTATGGAAACAGCAGTTCAAGCAGGATCTAAAAATTAAAACTCACACTTGACTATTGTAGCTGCTGACTGCCAATTGAGCAGTAAAGTGGATTTTTAGACCTGAAGCTCAGGTACCATCATCAGCAGTAATGGACAATTTCTAAAACATCAGGAGTGCATTTCTCAGTCATTTTCCCCTCTTTCAGCAGATATGTAATCTCAGGTGGGGCAAACTGGCTTGCCTGTGCAACTGGCATCATTAGTCCACAAACGGTCCGTAATGTGCCCAGGGGCTATGTGAGATGCATCATGGGAGGCGGTGGCTAGTCAGGAGAGGAAGACACTTCTCTGTGGCTCAAAAAATGATGAAAGAGAAAGAAAAGAGAATATGAAGCTCAGCAGCCTGCAGGTGGGAGCGTGGGTTTGCTGGCTGTTAAGAATCAGGCTCAGTAATAAATCTGAGAAAATTATTCTTTAGTATAGTGCAATCTAAATGTAAGGAGCATTCAACACTGGGCCTCCAAATAGAGTGTGTGAATGCATATTTTGTTCTTTTCTAATATAAACAGTGACGAAAAGCGTGAATCATTTCAACACATTTGGGATAAACATCCTTGCTTATGACCTCCTGCAAGATAGTGCAGGTGTGACTTCAAATCAGACAATGTTCACACATGGCTCAGTTGCACTGCCCAACCTGTTAGAAATAATAGTGTTGGTTTACATTTTAATTTGGATTTTATTTGGCTGTTGCACAACTAATTGATATATGCCTGTTGCTTTTATAAATGAAATGCACAATTTGTGAGATTTCTAAAGTGTGGTGTTATACAGAACTGAAATTCTTAAGTAGTTTCTGAAGCACATTAATTGCATGCTTAACAGGTTGATCCTAAAGGTTGCCAAGCCCTTATTTGCAACTAAATTTTCTATTCAGTTAGAACATAACTTATATACAGGGACTGTATTAGTTTTGAATTTCCTAGATGGATAATATACCTCGGAATGAGAATAAAATGTGCAAAATGTGGTGAATACTGAATGTTCTTTTTTACATTTCAATTGTGCAGCATTGAATACAAAGTAAACATGAGACAAGAATTATTTTGTAAACCTGAGACATAATAATCATAGCTGAGTTTTCAAGGCAGTATTTATTTTATTCCCAGCTTTAATGAATCAAGGGTTTGCCAGAAAAGAAAACTGCCGTTCTTGTGATATGCTTGAAATTATTTCTACTAAAAAAGGTTATTTGAGAAAAAACCCTGGGATTATCATAGGAGGTAATTGATAGGGTACAGGTTGGTGATCTGCAGTTTCTTTGGTAATCTGCAGAGTAGTAGCATGTGGTGGAGGAGAAGAGAGGAGGAAGGTTTGCCCATGAGCTGGCTTATCACTTCTGCTGCTGGCAGTGCTGCAGCTGATTCCTGGCATGTACATGCCAGAAAGACACACATACGTAGCCGCATGTAGGGCGAGGATACATGTCTCTAAAGAGGGGCCATTTGTTTTAAAAGCAGTGGTGAAAACCAGCGGTGTGGTTATCAGCTGGTGCCTGAGGTCTGAACCCCTGGGTGGATGAGCCAGCTGCACATGCCAACAGCCCTTCTCCTAATTTTGGCAGCTCTTGGAGGATTGAGCAATTAAGATCATGAGCCTCCAAGAGGTTACACACCAGCACAAGGTAGTGCCACTCCTTTCTGTGTTATTAACAGCCTTAGAGCAGGTTAAGAAGTGACCAAGTGAGCTTTGCTGAGCTGCTCTGCCCCATCGTCGTTAATCAGATTTCACTCTCATTTTCCTTGGCAAGCCCAGTCTGGTGGCATTAGTTTAGTGCTGACAGCTGGGCCTGCTGAGCCTCTGTCCTGGGTGCAGCTGTAGCATGGAGCATCACAGATGACTGAGAGTTGTACTAAGTGCCACTGAAAACTCTCAAAATACAGGGCTTCCTGACAGTTTTACGGGTGGAGTGCGGTACCCTGAGGTGTGTTTTTGCTTTGCACACATTTGTAAGAAAATCAGCCTGTGCTGTTGAGAGTGAGGAGAAGCCAGGTGTCCTGGGTTCAGCAGTAGCAGTCATGTTTCTCCTCCTTGGTAGCTGGTGCAGTGCAGTGTTTTGACTTTCGGCTCGGGAACAGAGCTGATAGAGATGTTTTGGTTTGGCCAAGGACTTTGTGAGCCTCATGCTCTGCCAGGGAGGAGGGGAAGCCGGGAGGAAGCAGAGACAGGACACCTGACCCAAACTGACCAAAGAGGTATTCCATACCACAGCACGTCATGCCCAGGATGTAACTGGGAGTTAGCCGGAAGGGCTGGGAGACTGCAGGGTTGGAGGAGGTATCGGTCGGAGCTTGGTCGGGCTTGGGGGGCGAGTTATCGGTCAGCTGGTGCTGAGGTGTTGTATTCTGTTCCCTTGTTATTTCCTTTATCATTATTATCATTGGTGGTAGCAGTAGTGATTTGTGTTATACCTTAGTTACTAAACTGTTCTTATCTCAACCCGTGGGAGTTGCATTCTTTTGATTCTCCTCTCCGTCCCTCCGAGAGCAGGGGGAGGGCAAGAAAGGGGGGGAAGTGAGCGAACGAATTACCTGACTGGGTTTAAACCACGACAGTTCTTTTTGGCGCCCAACGTGGGGCACGAAGGGTTGAGATAACGACAGATCTGACTGGATTAATAGTCATTCGTCACAATGCTGATTTATTGGGTATCAGAGTTGTTGTTCTTGATCTCACAGCTTCAGACCGTTGTAACTTACGTAGAGCCGGTATTTGCTGTGATAGTGTTTATCAAGTGTGGGGCCTGGGCTAAGGTTCTTGTCTCACTGTATTTTATGGCAATGGCTTGTAACACGGGTGGGCTCCAGCAGCAGGGCGGGACGGACGTGACCGTGGACTTGTACCTGGCCGTCCGGCTGCTCTTCACCGTCCTGGCCCTCACCCTACTCTCCATCTTCGTGAGACTGCGGGGAGCTGAGGGGGAGCGGCCCCGGGAGCCGGCGGCTGCTGAAGCGGCCCGGGAGAGCGGCCCCGGGGACCAAGCGGCGGCGGGAGCGGGGCCGGAGGCCGCGAGGGGACGGCTGCCGATGGAGGAGGTCGGGGCGGTCGAGGAGAGGAAGGAGGCGGCTGCCGAGCAGCGGGAGAAGGCGGCGGAGGAGCCGAGCCCCGCGGAAGAGCCGAGCCCCGCGGAGGAGCCGAGCCCCGCGGAGGAGCTGAGCCCCGCGGCCGAGCCGAGCCCCGCGACAGCCGACAGCATTCCCCGGAAGCCGCCCGCCGAGCCCCAGGAGGATGCAGGAGACCACGCAGCATTTCCCAGCAAGGCAGAGGAGGAAGAGCTGGACTCAGGAAAAGAGAAGCTGGCGGTGGGAGAGCCGGCAAGCACAGCAGCTACACCAGCCCCAGTGACAAGCACAGCAGCATCAACTGAGAGTTCTGAAGGTTTTGAATGGCCTTTGGGTATCCTTGGGACCTGCCTGCTGATCGTGATGGGGATCAGCATGTTGGCACACACACAGACTGTGTTCTACCCACAACCATTTTGTCTGATCTCAAAAGTTAAGCAGAGTCAGGTTTGGGTCTTGTCTGGGGTTAGACGACGATTCAGGGGGACCAAGAGGTTTTCCCCAAGGCTGGACAGTATTGAGTGGCAGGGTGTGTGGGACAGTATGGGCAAGTATCTAGTCCACTGGGCCCCTCCAGTGCTTTGGAAGCATCGGAGATGGAAGGCAGCTGTATGGAGTCCCCAGCAAGAAGCTGCAGAAACTGCTAAAGGGGACAGTGAATTATTTTGAGTGGGCCCATGGCACTTCTGGCCATCAGAGCAGAGATGCAGCACAAAGATGGACTCATGATCAAGGGGTGGACTTAGCAATGGACACTATTGCCAAGGTTATTCACAAGTGTGAACACTGCACACAGTCTCTCCTGCTCTGGAAGACTGTTACAAGCGGTGGAGCCTGACATCATGGACCAGATGGACACAGCAGCTTTATAGGGACTGGTCCGTGCACTAAGATAAGAGTGATGGTATATTGAAAATGTGGGATCTGAGCATGACGTGAATGGTATGGAATAAGGGGTGGATAATGTCCTGGGTTCAGCAGTAGCAGTCATGTTTCTCCTCCTTGGTAGCTGGTGCAGTGCAGTGTTTTGACTTTCGGCTCGGGAACAGAGCTGATAGAGATGTTTTGGTTTGGCCAAGGACTTTGTGAGCCTCATGCTCTGCCAGGGAGGAGGGGAAGCCGGGAGGAAGCAGAGACAGGACACCTGACCCAAACTGACCAAAGAGGTATTCCATACCACAGCACGTCATGCCCAGGATGTAACTGGGAGTTAGCCGGAAGGGCTGGGAGACTGCAGGGTTGGAGGAGGTATCGGTCGGAGCTTGGTCGGGCTTGGGGGGCGAGTTATCGGTCAGCTGGTGCTGAGGTGTTGTATTCTGTTCCCTTGTTATTTCCTTTATCATTATTATCATTGGTGGTAGCAGTAGTGATTTGTGTTATACCTTAGTTACTAAACTGTTCTTATCTCAACCCGTGGGAGTTGCATTCTTTTGATTCTCCTCTCCGTCCCTCCGAGAGCAGGGGGAGGGCAAGAAAGGGGGGGAAGTGAGCGAACGAATTACCTGACTGGGTTTAAACCACGACACCAGGGAAGCTGTGTTTGTAAAGCTCTGCTGACAGGTGCATGAGGAGGGTTAAGAAAAATAATATTAAATGCACATGTGTTATAGACTTAAAGCACACACCATCGTGGAGGCTGCAAGGTTGGAGAGCTTCAGGGAGATTGTGGTATCTCCTGCTTCTCTCCTACAAAGCTGGAATTGGTTGATTGCTTTTATACCCAGCCATTTTCCTGGATAAACACATATTCTAAAAATAAGATTTAGAGCAGCGATGCTCTGGTATTTACCCTGCTGCTCCTCATTGCTTCTTGCTCTGATGTTTTTTGGTTGCAATTGCATGAGCTGAGCACTGCATCACAGGCAACCTGCTTGTAATGCTGCCTTCCTCCCAGCTGCATCAGAACAACTGGTGTGGAAATGCTCTGTTTAACCAGAGATGTTCACTAGGTGTGTTTGTTCTTTCTGAGAATGAATAGATTCATTTATTTAAAAACTTCTAAAAAGCATGCAATTAGTCACAAACCTTTCCAATGGCCTCTGCTCTGAATGAATCAGATGTCCACTGCTGTTCATACTCAGTTTTTCTCTCTCACAAGAGTCAGCCCTCCTAGAAGGAAATAAAAGTGTGTATTGCGGGCAAGGACATGATAGTTTTGTGTTGTTTAGAAGTAAAAGCATATTATATTTGTTAAAAAAACAATGCAAGGCACTGGATGAGATTTGCCTAGGATGCTGTTCATACTTACACTTAATATGTAATTTAAAATCTCATTCTATTCTTTGTAATTATTTTCTTTTTCTTTTGGGAGTGTGACATATTTACAGATTGCGAGTTAAAATGTATTTGTATAGTCAAGTGCATGGATAATGGACTTCCTTCTACAGCACCGTGATCTTTTCTGCACAAATGTGACATTTGCAGGCATTTTTTTTCAAGGAACGCTTAATCTCTTTCTTTCTCCAGATCAGGAATGTTGAAACCAACCAGTGTTTAGACAACATGGGCCGCAAGGAAAATGAAAAAGTGGGCATTTTCAACTGCCACGGCATGGGAGGAAATCAGGTAAAATTAAGAAAAAAATAAAAAGCAGTGTTATTTGTGGCAGCATTTCCTCCTGGGGACCCTCTGGTTTTGCCCCCTGATGAAATGGGAATCCGTCAGGAATCTACAGTTAATGCACCTCAAATGTGGGCATGTTGGGTCACTATAAGAAAAGCTAGCAGCAATTAGCAATCATATTAAGGAAAGTCCCAGAATGTTTGAGATTTAGAAATTAAGAGTTTTAGGAGTACTTGGCCATTTTTTCAAGTAATAGCTGCATATTTTGAGAACATATCACTGCATAACAGTAGGTCCAGTGGAGTATCCACGTGAATATATTGAATATATTCCTGCTGTTTAGAGTGTGGAGAAATGCATTTGAAGTTTCAGATGCTAACATTAGAAGATTTGATCATGAATTTTAATCTGTTTATGGCATTGCGGGGGGGGGGGGGGGGGGGATCTTTTTTAAGATGAAATGGATGAGAATATACGTGACTTATGGCTGAATTCATCTGTTTCTAAAATGCGTATGTGAAAAATAAATGTAGTGCATTCATGCAAGCTGAGGTTTTGTCATTAGTGGAAATTCGAATAGTGGGGGCGTGGAGTATTTCACTTGTGTCTTGTGTATGTTTGAAAGGGAGTGAAGAGGTAAATGGAAGTCATGTAGCTCATTGTACTGCTGATGACTGTACCTGTTCTCCTTATAAATAACAGTAAACTTTGCATATTCTACGCCTTGGATTCAAATTAGCAGGGGTGATTCATTTGGGTTTAGTTGAGTTTTGCAATGTAAACTTGTAGTTAGGGGACTTTTACCCAGGGAGGCTGTAGTGTGCAGCATCAAGACAGGAAGCCTGCGGCACTGAGCAATGCATGGCTGCTGACCACTCTTTTTTGCTTTTCCTTCAGAAAACCCTTCTCTTCTTCTTCCCCTTAGTTCTGACAGCTTTCTCAAATTAAAGACTCCAGCTCCTATCATTCAGCTTCTGATACATCCCAGAGCAGAGGGCTGTTCTTGCCTTCACACACTGCAGTTTTAAAAGCCATAGAGGTCCCTCAGCAGGACCTTATATTTGTGCTGGCATCTCTTCCAGGAAGGTCTTTTGACCATGTACCCATTGGATAATGCTTGATGAGGGTGGCATTTTGTAGTGCCACATCTGCTAAAAAGAGATGAGAGGAGGCAGGACTTTAGACCGAGCTCGCATATTTCTTCTAGAGTTAAGGTTGTCCATGATATTTATCCCAAACATTACTGTCTTTCTAAATTTGACTTAGGAGACGGAAGCGTTAGCATTTTAATCAGACTGCATATGATCAAGGTTGAAGATTCTCTTTATGCCTTGGGTGTTTGGCATGTTTCCCTTTCTTTCTGCACATTGGTAGGAAAACCCTTCTCTGTCTGTTGAAAGAGAAGGGAAAAGCTTAGATGACCGTTAGGTCTCCAAACCTCAGTTCCTCCTAAGTATCAGGTTTGAAGTTAGGACTGTAAAGATAAAGATAGATGGATTGTGAGTGTGTGTATGGGCTATTTATCCTATAGAAACCCTAATTACTGACAAATACAAACATTCTTTCTGAGCTTTCTAAAGCCAGTATATTTCATATATAAAGAAATTTTGGCTCCAGTCTGCTTTATACATCTCATATCAGCCAGAAACCACAGATGAATCTGTGGTGTGCACTTGCAGGGTGAAGAGGCTCTTCTTCTCTGTATTTGCATGAGCAAAGAGCAGTATGTGTCATCTGGTGGACATCTTGCTAGGAAAACCTGACCAACATACAGAATGTTATTCATCCTTTAGTGTTCATACACAACTCCCATTAAAAGTTATCTTTATTAAATTCTCTTCTAATGAGAAATTAGAACTGAGAGAAGGCATGTAAATGCTGGGGGCGGGGAAATGGGGAGGCTGTGCTGTTACAGAAATAGGTGAAGAACAAAACTACTAAATGAAAATGAAGCGAGAATAATACCTTGCTCATTAGAGTCGAGTGCGATGCATGGGTGCGATCTGCCTTGAGGCAGGGCTAAATATCTCACAGCTAACAAAGTGTTTTAAAGATCTGAGGATTGTTTTAAAGGACTTAAGGATAATGAGATTGTAAAAATACTAATTTCTTTTAAGAATTAAGAAAAATGAAATACTTTAACAGAGTCCCTTCATGTGAAAATTGTTTTCAGAGTATAAAACTGTGGAGGATTTGCTGCTATGTTGGTATGGGCATTTCAGATTATCCTTATTTAGTTATTAATGATGTTTGAAATAAAAAGCAATCTTAGAACTGTTTTCTTCGCTTTATATGGAGGGGGAAAATGCAAAGCCTGTCCTTGGATCAGGTACAGTGGGGATATGGCTCTAGGGGCTAGAATACCACGTCTGTGCATCTCCTGAGGTGTGGGCAGCATGTGAACTTGCTTCAAGAACGATCTTTTTCAGAAGGAAGGTACCTGATTAAAGAAAGCAGTGACTACATCCAGATCATGGGAAAACAGCTACTATATTCAGCCTCAGACAGAGGGGACTGACCCATCAATCTCATGCCTTTTTTCCCCACAGCTGACTTGAGGTTTTGTAGCATTTTAAAGGAAATCTGTTCCTTTCTATGGCCTGGTAGAGGGTGACACAGTCATCTGTTTTCCCTGCCTACAGTCATCCTGAGGGGTATACCTCAAGGGCTTTCATTGTGTTACCATAGGAATGTCATCTGTTACTGTGATTATTGGGAGTGTCTTCACAGCAGTAATCAAATTGTGTGATCTCACACAGGCAAGAGAGGGATATTATTAAAAAGAATGGCTGGGGAATTGTACAGGTTCACAATTGCACCGCAGGTCAGCAGCTGCTCTCCTCCTGGCTGCCCGCACAACAGGTTCTGTTTAGCACCTTGTGCCTTTTCTCCTCTTGGGAGCTTCAGTTGTCCTAGAGATGAACCTGCTTTTTTGTCAGAAAAAAATATCACCAGGAAAGTAACAAGGACCCTTTCTTGTGCTGTGCAAATCCCTGAAAAGGGTCCTGCGGGGCTCCCTGCTCAGCTGGTGTGTCCTACAGTCCTGGTGTCTGTGCTATCACATGCTGCCACCTGCTTCTCCATTTTGTTGCATTGTGCCCAAGGGAGCAGCCATGAAACGTCTGGAGGGGTAAAGCATTTTTTTATCAGTATGTGAGTCAGCTCCATTGTCAGAGTGTGTGTCCTGTGTGTCCTCAGCAAAGCTAACTGGAAGCCTTAGAGTAACAAAATCAAGAGCTGAAAAGGGCTGCCTTTCTTTCTGAGATGCTTCACAGAATCACAGAATGTCTGGTTTGGAAAGGACCTTAAAGGTCATCCAGTTCCAACCCCCCTGCCACAGGCAGGGACACCTTCCACTAGACCAGGTTACTCAAAGCCTAGTTCAACCTGGCCTTGAATACTGCCAGGGATGGGGCAGCCACAGCTTCTCTGGGCAGCCTCTGCCAGGGCCTCACCACCCTCACAGGGAAGAGCTTCTTCCTGATATCTAAATCTAAATGCTTTCTTTGTCAATTTAAATCCATTACCTCTTGTCCTGTCTTTACTTGCCCTTGTAAAAAGTCCCTCTTCAGCTCTCTTGTGGCCCCTTTAAGCACTGGAAGCTGCTCTGAGGTCTCCCCAGAGCTGCCTTCTTCTCCAAGCTGAACAAGCCCGGCTCTCTCAGCCTGTCTCAGAGGTGCTCCAGCCCTTGAGGCATCTTTGTGGCTCTCCTCTGGACTTATGCCAACAGCCCCATTTCCTTAATCTGGGGGCCCCAGAGTGGGATGCTCTGCAGGATGCTCTGGATTTATCCTCTGGATAAGTATTGTGGTGTTTTTTCCATACTGATAAGAACAGTGAGGTATAAGCACTAGTGTGGCTGTGACCATGTGACAATTTCTCAGCATCCTGCACGGCAACAGCAGCTCTGCAGCTCCTGCTCAGTGTTCCAGTGGGCACTTGGAATTCCAAGCAAACGTGCTAATCTGGGGAATTTTTGTAGTTTTACAGCCTGTATTGGTTTGCTGAGCATAGAGGGCTGAGCTGGCAAGTGGAAGAAACATGCTTCATGTAAAACCTTCCCCCAGGTGGCATGGGGCTCTGGTCCTCAATTACCAGGTGCCTAGGTTGTCGGCATCTTGTGCACATGGCAGCTCTGCATGGGAGAAGGATTTTTTGGAAGGAACATTGTTTTCCCAACAGGATGAGGAGTGTTTTGTCAAGATTCATTTTAAATGAATGTACAGTTGCGTCAGCTGGGATTTTTCTGGGTATGAGCTTACCCGGGGCAGGGGGAGATCGGAACGAACGTGTTGTTCTATATGTTTAAGTAAATGTGCAAGGGGAACATGACTTCCTTCTGGCAACGTTTTATACAGAAGGTTCAGACTCAGTACTCACTGGCAGCTCAGAAAGCCAGCACACACAATAAGGCTTGTTAGAGGGTTGTTTTTTCCCCAGTTAGCTCCAAATAATGGGTCTTTCAGAAACTGTTCTATTTCATAGTTCCAATTTTTTCCTATTCACAGTAAACGCATATGTCTTCAAATGCCTTTTTGAATAGGAGCACTTTCTGTGTAGCAGTATATAGAAAAATAATTTATAAACTCTCAGTCTGTAAGGATTTATTGGTATGCTGTGATAATTTGCTTACTGCTGGGAATGGATGGGAATATGAGGTGTCTGACTCATGAGATGCTTCTGTAATGGAAGGCCGTTACTAAGTCATCTAAAAGCATTTTATGTACAAAACTGAATAGAACAAAGCCTTTAGTTTAGTGACAATTAGACATTTATCCATGCAAATGATGCAAGTTCCACACAGAAAGAGGAGTTGCACAGTAGTTGTGCAGCTGATCCCAGCCCAGTAATCTCCTTGGAGAGCTCACTGGGTGAGGAAACACAGCACCCGTTGCAGACTATAAGTTTAGTACTGCAATTTTACTAATTGTAGTACCTTAGGTAAATACTAGGTTTTGTAACGGGTTATCCAAAACTTAGCCCTTCTTTGCTCTTTCTGCCTG